ACCTAATAGAAAAAATAAATGCTTTCGCCACTAAAAGAACCTGCCCAACAATAGGTACCGTCACAAGAGTTATTTTTCTGTCTCACTGATGACTTTTTACCTAAGTGCAAAAAATAATTATTACACGAATATGATATTAGCATGTATTGTTAGATTTATGTGAGGACAGGTTTTATATAAAGTATTTCGTTTGTCCCTTAAAATTGAAGTATTGACGCTATCTTATTTTCTCTTGTCAAGAAAGTTAAGAAAAAACAATTTATTGAATTGTAAATGTAGCCAAAACCCAATATATCCAAATATGCTTTTCATTAACAGGCAATTGTGAATTAAAATATTGTTACGTCTCCGTTCGTTAGTTAATTTTCCGTAAAAATTCTTTCCGAAGAAACTTTACCGATACAAGTCCTTTCTTAAATAAAACTGGTTTATTCTTTCTGAATACAACTTTGCGATACTCTTAATTTCAACAGTCGCGCTATAACAAACCTATAATTCACAACGAACGTCTCACGAGCACAACAATATTCTCTCTCCGCAGTTCAATTACACATTACATTATTGCCGTCACGTTGTGACCGTCTTATATATAAAAGAATACTGAGATCTAGTAAACTCCGATATTTCAGGAAGGGACGTGAACGTTCGAGAAGCTTGTGGCGTGATACTAGCGTCACGTGACCCCCGATGTCCTATAATCAATTAACTGCATTAACGAAGTTTGTACAGTGAAACTATTAGTTAAAAAAGAAAAAAAAACCTATGGAACACAAAGTTTATTAACTTTTCTGAACGTTGGTACAATACAGAATCGAAATCATTGGCTACTGATACAAAATGGATTCAAAATACTAACACATAGGATTAAAACACAAACTTCTAGTGACAAACATAGATTTTTTTATATTAAGCCAGCGACACATTCTTAACCCAATAATTATTATTAGACCACATTAGCTTCTAACTACTATTTTTAAACTAATTATGCATCAAATTATTTGTAAGTTCGTGATTTTATTTTGTTTATGTTAGCTAGAGAGCGCATCACGTTGTGATCAAGTTAGTCCTAGAATATTCGGGAATATTAATGAACAAGAGGATTTATGAAATGTCTAGAACAAGGATTAGACTTTAAATACGGGCAAGCCTGTCAACTTGCAATGGAACAGTGAAGCATCAAGAATATAGAATTGTCTTATAGCCGGTAGAGAGAATCAGACAGTGCATTTACGTTTTTTGATTTATTTTGGCTATCGCAAAGACAGTTACTATATACAAGTAAACTGGTATTTATGTTAATGTAGTACAGAGAGCGTGGTTATAAACGTAGGCCTATAACAAGTTATAAAGTGCCTATAAAGAAACGTTAAAGAAGAAATAAAACTAATTTGTTATTGTTACATGGACTGGACGTTGAATTATTTTCACCTGATAACCTGATAGGACGTGCCAAATAAAGGAATAATGTTAGTCAATAATACCATAACTAATGGGCGAACACAGAGAAAGAGTTCGATGGATAACACATATAAGATCGCTTTCTTCTTCTTCGCAGTCATATTCAACCAAATCAAAAATATTCGTTTTGGAAAAGGATCACACACCGGACGTCGTTATCTTAATTCCGGCAATCATTGGAGCCACATTTAATTTCCATTAAATTTAAAAAAGTAGAAGGGCCTAAAACGTAGATTTTCCCACTATATAAAATAGTTTGCTTTTCATGGCAATGCTACTTTTTAGGTTCTATCTTACAATAGAATAAAAACAGGTATAGTTATAAAGATATTCGGCACCTGCTCAATAACACAGAATGCGTTTTTTCTAAATCTCTTCTGATTTAGTTTCCTAGGTTGCTAAGTATGATCTTGTGTATTAAGGGTGTATGAAAGGTAGTCTAACTGTTAAATAGATAGTTTAGCACACGTATATATATTAATATTTTTGTGATGTTTGCAAAAAAAAAGTTTTCAACTCGAAATATGGGATAACTATTTTTTTTATTGTTTCGTCTAGCTTTTTTTATATATTGCACTAAATACGATAAGAGAAAAAGCAATGATACTTTCTACAAAATACGAAACAATGGCCATCTAGCGGGAAAACTCTAATAAAATGATTGTGTTTGACCCATTGAGCAGAAAAGAAGCAGACCACGTTTAAAGTCTATGGTTTAAGACTAATTGTTAAGGTAGGGATGTACCTTTAGATTCTGAGAAGAAAAAAAAGCGTTATTTTGGTAAAGATAAAGTTAATGACCCCTCATATTTTAATGTTATGAGAGCGCCTTGTGCTACTTGTTTTGATAATCAATGGGTTCAGATGAAAATGAAATGTATATCTAACTTTACTCATACTGAGTCGTATTCGCAGTCATATGTAACTTTTGACTGTTGATTGTGTGATACTCAAAAACAAAAGTGCTTGCTTACTTACACCTGTGATACAGTTTGAATCCAATCTCTTAGACTATTTTTAGTCCCATGATGACTTTTTTGAATTACAGAGTTATTGTAAAGATAACCATATATTTAGAATTATGATATCTTAAAAATTACTTCTAAGTTCTAGAATTTAGAAAGTTTAGACGTGATACAGGGCATTTCAAAAACCAATTGGAGTATGCTTTCCATTATTCTCAATCAGTATATCCTAACTATCTCTAAAAAAGTAAATGAAGTTATAACAAGTGAATTATTAAAGCTGTTTTTGGACAGTGTTTGTTGATCTTAACAGTGATGAGCCTTTTAATCAAATCCTGGATTTCATTTTATTAAAAGGGAGAGAAACGAGAAATATAATTTATACTAACTTGTGATAAAACCGAATTAGTATATAGCATAATACATCTTTGAAACACCTTGTATTGTATACAAGCATTTTTGAATAAAACTTATGATTCTCAAGGTGCTTTGGAAAGATTTTATTCTCATAGGATCTAGAATTTTTTAGATATAACAGTTTTAAATGTGGAGTTTTCTTGATAATCACGTTTTAAAATAACATGGTTTGAATTCTTTGTAATCCCTCATAGTTTAGTCCACTGTCTTCCATGATATATTTTTCATCATAGATGAATACAGTATAATTTCAATATAAAATGTAGAGAAGTCCTGTTTTTAAATGCTTCATATATGCAGGGTTTCTTATGTAGAGAAATCCTGTTTTTGAATGCATATTAAACAGTTTCTTATGTAGAGTTTTGTTTTTAATAACTTGCATATGAAGAGTTTCTTCTGTAGAGAAATTTTGGTTTTAATGTCTCACAAATGAAGGCTATTTTATGTAGAGTTCTGTTTTTACTGTCTCATGCAAAGGGTTTCTTATGTAAAAATTTATTTTCATACATTATAAATTCAGAAATGTTACTCACCTTTCCACAGAACTGATAGCTATTACCTTGCAGCATTACCGAGCAATGTTTTGTGTATGCATGAAACCTTGAATGAAACTCCCGTTCCTACACATATTGATTTGTACTGCACTACTCTATGATGCACTACTCTATAGCCCTCTATCAGTAGGAGGACAATATATTCACCATGTGCAGTAAACCCAACGACCACCTCATGCTGTAACAAAGCTCATTCCGTCCTTGGCACTGCTTGGCTTCGGACATGTTTTTCTTATTAAGAATTATAGACTTTTTTGTGTTTGTTATTTTAAACTTTTTGTTATTGTTTATAGTGTAATCTTTCTTTTCTCGATTTTGAGAAAGAAGATTATGAAATTTTAAAGATTTCAGTTAGAACTTTTTATTTCTGTTTTTAACCAGATAACAAAACTTGGAGCATGATTACCATCATTACTAACCCAGTGCATGAGTTTCATTAATTAATATCTAATTTTGTTATTACAACAATGACCAAGGTCTATGTACCACTGACATACCGGATCCATTTAAAAAACAAAAACTAAATAGTTTTGTGGATCAGCTATGAATTCACTTATTCATGTGAATTGACAACTCAAAATAGGAATTGTTTGTTATTTCAGTTGCAAATGGAGGCACTTTTATGGCCAGTGGTGTTATTGCCATTCTGTTTAAATCTGATATTCTATTTTGCCTCCTCTTTTGATAATTTTAACTACTGCTTCTGCCACCTGATTTATGCTTCTGGTTCTCCACTTCTTGATGAGGAACAGTTAACCTCATTTTCATTCTTTGCTAAGCTGTTTCCATAGGAATGTAATTGCAATGTTTTTAAAGTCTTTTTCCAGTTGTTTTTTTTGTTGAATCTTGGGCTAGCTTGCTGCATGAGCCTCCTCCTTTTGACTATCTTCTCTTTACCCCTCCCCTGATATTCATGTTAATGCCAATATCATTTTGTCTCAACTTCATTCCAAACCACAGCTGCCTCACACCTCAGACTTTTTGAATCTTGTTTTATGGTATTTCTTAGTGATTCTTTTTCTTTCCTCATTTTGTTTGGTCAGGATGCCTTACTTTCTGGAATCATCCATCTTGGTTTTATTTTTGGGGCTGTCAAGTGATAGGTTTTTTGGGGGCTACTTATCTGTTGAAAACTTAAGCTGAGGCAACTTGTCTGCAGTGATCTCTGCCAGTTTTATTTTACACGTTGCTTGGTCCTTACAGTTTTCTTGCCCTTGGGAATCTTGTTAGATAGCTCCTCACCTGTACCTTGTTCTCCTGATAGGTTCTGATGTCCCACTCTCGGAGGACTGGGTATCATGGATCATGGAAGGGTAACTTGTTTCTGGAGCCACCTCTTGCTTTGGTCTGATGGGACCTAAGTGCTCCTACTTTGAGTATCTATAGTGGACTCCCTTTGCAGAAGACTATTGGGTCACTCAGGTCCAACCTCTTATCTCTTTCTATGTGTTTGTTAATGCTCTTCTTTCTCTTTCTTGGCTGTTCTCTGTTTTTGTCTTTGGTTCTTACAGACCTCTTTTTAGCATTTCATATCAGTCATCTGTTTTCTGTACCATCTTTTCCTAATGATATGTCTTTTTTTCTTTTTGACTGTTGGAGACATTACTCTGACATTTTGCCTTGAACAACATTTGTGACATTACTTGCACCACACTGTGGTTTCATCTCCATAGATTTTGCATTCCTCAATTTTCACAGAGGCTCTAAGAAGGTGAGTTGAACATTTTTTTTTGCAGCTCCAACAACCACCTGACTATGTTTATACTTCTGTATTATGGGGACAAAGGAATCCATCATGTGGTCAGTGATGCCTTGCAGGGGGTACTTCTCACTCCCCAAATATTGATTGAATAGTGTTCATTTGACCTGGCTGGGTTTTCTGCAAGACTGGTTTGGTTTATCTTCAGGAAAAGAACAAATGACACTAGGCATGATCCTGCCCTCACATCTCCTACATTAATATGGAAAGCAGGCACTAGGAGATGTGAGGGCAGGATCATGCCTAGTGTCATTTGTTGTCCCACATTAATATGGAAAGCAGGCACTGGGACAACAAATGACACTAGGCATGATCCTGCCCTCACATCTTCTAGTGCCTGCTTTCCATATTAATGTGGGACAACAAATGACACTAGGCATGATCCTGCCCTCACATCTGCTAGTGCCTGCTTTCCATATTAATGTAGGGAACAACAAATGACACTAAGCATGATCCTACCCTCACATCTCCTAGTGCCTGCTTTCCATATTAATGTGGGACAACAAATGACACTAAGCATGATCCTACCCTCACATCTCCTAGTGCCTGCTTTCCATATTAATGTGGGACAACAAATGACACTAGGCATGATCCTGCCCTCACATCTCCTAGTGCCTGCTTTCCATATTAATGTGGGACAACAAATGGCACTAGGCATGATCCTGCCCTCACATCTCCTAGTGCCTGCTTTCCTTATTAATGTGGGACACAGATGTGATGACTCCTGGTTGACCTGAGCACCTCTCCAGCATTCTCTCCTGTGCAAATTCCCCCCTCCTGTTTTCCTCTAGTGAAGTAAAGGGAGGAGAACCCGTTTCCCCAGTCCTGAAGAGGTTAATATGGAGAGTTCCCTTTTGTGTCATTGTAAACTCACCTTTATTAGACCAAGTGGATACACCTCTTGATTGGAAATAGGTTTGGGTTGTTTTCCTGGAAACGTAGTGGAGGCCACCTCTGTGTTATGAACCAGGTTATTCCTGGTGTTTATGTCAACTGGATGAGGTTGTGTTCACCTCAGGATGCATTTCTGGAATGATTCCTCCCTGCCACTACTCATTCTTATAGGTTTTTCTCACATGCTATCTGGTCTGACGTATTGTTCTGGCAACACTACACATTTATGATATGTTGGCTAAAGTCTGACGTATTGTTCTGGCAACACTACACATTTATGATATGTTGGCTAAAGTCTGACATAGGTGATCAGAATGGAATAACTACTCATCTGACCTGTATATCTCATTCTGACCACCTGTGTCAGACTTTAGCACCATGTTGGAAATTCTTTTGACAGTACCACTTTCAATGTGGGATTCTAGATATCAGTTCTGTGAAGAGGTGAGTAGCATTTTGTTAAGTTAGCAATTTTCCTTACCTGAAAATGTATTTCAGATAGATACTCGCCTCTTGGCAGCACCTCCCCACTTCCAGTGTGCTTCTTTTGCCTTGCCAAGAATGAGCTTTGTTAAGGCGTGATGTTAAGGTGTCATGGGTTTACTTCAGATGGAGGATGTGTTGCCCTCCTGTCGATGGAGGGCTATAGTCCAACGGTGATTGCATCATACATTGGTGCTGTACATGTTAATAAGAATAGGGGTGGGAGTTTTTCTCAAGGCTTGATGAACATGTAAAATATTTTGGCAGTGGCATGAGGTAATAGCAGTCAGTTCTGTAAAGAGGTGAGTGTCCATCTGAAATACATTTTCAGGAAAAGAAAAAAATGTTAACTTTTGGTAGTTTATAATGTTAAGTGAAATATAGGTTGTTGTTTGTTTTTTTGTCAACGTAGGTTTCTACGAATTTGCTGTTTTCATGGTGCTGGTTGGAGAAATTGTAGCTGGACTTCAGAAATGTTCGAGGACTTTGTTTTACTGCACAAATAGGAAAGGTTTAAAGCTTCTCCATAGGTTTAATGTCAACTTTTCTAGTAAAGCAGCCACTGAGAAATCTGTACCCAATACACTTGGTAGGTGTGGCAGGGTTTGTACCACGATTCTTGCTTTGTTTTCCATTCAATCTAAACCTCTAATTGAAGTGGTTAAAACAACTTCCATGCACTGAAGTAGCGACATATATAAATACTACTTAATGATGGGAAAAAGTTTTATAGAAAATATTTCTGTAGATTTTCGTACCTATTCTCTGGTAATGTGTGTGCGTCTTGCAGTTTAAAATAGAAACAGAACTCAAAATAAATTTCTAGGCTAACATTGGTATCCTCCCTTGAAGTGGTTTTTATTAATTTTTTTTGTAATTTTAATCCTTTCATAATTTATCAGTATTAGTTTTTAAACTGTAAAAAAAAAAAGATTTATATTTAACTGAGAAATTATCATAATTTCATATAATATTGTAATTTTTGATAGTCGTGTCCTAACCTAAAGTGAATATTTAATATTTGAAAGTGAGTGAAAAAAAATATTTTGTTTATAAGCATATTTTATACAAGTATAATTTACATGCAAGTACTCAGTTAATTTATGATCACAAGTGTTAAATATTTTTATCGATGATAAGGGTGTTCATCTCAATGAATGTCGTGCATATTATGAAGAGCTAATTACAACTTGATACACCTGGTGGATGATGGTGTTTTATTCTTCATGATGCCAAAAAATCAAACACCATAATCTGTAGTAACAGTGAGAAAAATATACAAGTCTAAAATTAAGAATTGTTTTACAAGTTGCTGATGTTTTTTGTTTAAATTTCTATTGGATTTGGGGCAAAGTTGTTAAGGGCTATGTCAGTTCTTGTACAGAAAGAATATTTAGAGTCAAATGGGAAATTTCTTCTGAATTATACTGATGGAAGAAGAGCTAAAACTTAGATGCCAAGAAGGGAGAGAAATCTCTAAGTGTGTTGCCAGTGATTTAATTTTATGTATAGTTATTTGATCGTGATGAAGTGTAGTTACTTACCCAAAGCATTGCTTTCTTAATGAATTAAGTTTACCATCTTTGCTTTTTAACACATTATTTTATGTTTTTTTTGAAAGTGTGTTTTGTAACGTACCCAGTTATAAAACCTCGAAGCATTTTAAATGCTGTAGAAGTCAACCACAGTTAGTACTTAATATAATTTAAAGATGTCATATTAAACAATGAAGCTGGTCCAGGTCTACAAATAATAAAGTACTGGACAGCTGAGTTGTAAATCTTGGTAGTTTGAGTCTAGATGGCATTTTGGTATGTAAATGAGTGTGTGGGTATACAAGTCCCAACCTTGCTGAAGATGGTGTCATAGAACATATGTTGAATCATTTCAGAGCAAATCCCTGTTTTTAATAACTATTTATAGTGTAAGATTTTAACATTGTATTCCTTTTAATTGTAAATACTGGTGATCATTTTATACCAACTATAAGTTAAAACTTTACATATTTATAACTGTTAAATGTTGCTACAAGAGCTATATCAACCAGAAATGTGATTACTTGTCCAAATTGATTCTTGTACCTGATGATGCCAGGTTAAGCTGGTGAAACATTGTACCTATAAATATTATACTCTGAATCTTTAAACAATAAGTTTTAAATGTTCAAGCATCTTTGATCTTTGATAGAAATGAATACGTTCTATCCAGCTCTCTACAGAGTAATATTTTAAGTTCTATTTACATGGTTTTGGAGACGAAAACTGCTAACCAAGTGCTTTGTTGACACGTATTGTAATTTGTTTATGATCACTGATATTTTAAGTACTAACCGTGGTTGACTTATTGTAATTTGTTTATGATCACTGATATTTTAAGTATTAACCGTGGTTGACTTGTATTGTAATTTGTTTATGATCACTGATATTTTAAGTACTAACCGTGGTTGACTTGTATTGTAATTTGTTTATGATCACTGATATTTTAAGTACTAACCGTGGTTGACTTGTATTGTAATTTGTTTATGATCACTGATATTTTAACATGACATTAACTGTACATGATCATAGAATAATAAAAAAAACTCCACACATTTCGTGTAAACATGAGAATTAAAAAAAAAATTAGGAAGCTAACATTAGATTTTACACAAAACTTTTTTATTATAATGACTGATTCTACCAGATTTAAGTATTTGAATGGTCATAATACACATTTTGGTGGAAAGATTTCCCCAACATCATGCAGGTTTCATCACACTGTAATTCATTCCATGATTTGGCATCTTTAAAGTTCAATAACAAAAACAATAAACCTTCTACATGTAAATAGAAAGAACTACAGAATTACTACAATGAACTTGTGAATGAACCTACAAGTGTTCATATTATATTACACAAGATGAACAAATTACAATATAATACAACCACGGTTAGCACTTAAAATATCAGTGATCATAAACAAATTACAATACAAGTCAACCACGGTTAATACTTAAAATATCAGTGATCATAAACAAATTACAATACAAGTCAACCACGGTTAGCACTTAAAACATCAGTGATCATAAACAAATTACAATACAAGTCAACCACGGTTAGTACAAACAAAGTTTCACTTTGCAGCTCAGTTAATAGAATACAGTCAGGGATGTAAAAGTTCATGTATGCTTAATTCTTTGGTTCTCTAGATGAATACAAAGATCAACTCAGATGCAGTCCAGTTCAACCAAATGACCCAAGGCTTCTGAAAGTTTCTATTCTTGGGGAACCTAATGCTGGAAAGTCAACCCTCACAAACAGCCTTCTTGGATGGCGGGTCAGTTGGTTTTTGTTTTATAGGAAGCCTGTGTTCCTACTTCTTAAAAACGTTAATACTAATTCTTTTTTCTGTTTAGATTTGTTCTGTTTGAACTATTTTAAAACATTTTAATCATGCATGTTTTCTGTTTTTTTTTTTAGGTGTGCTCTGTATCAAGGAAAGTTCACACAACAAGACGTAACACAGCAGCAGTTCTTACAGAAGGCAACACACAGATTGTAAGACATATAGAAATAGATACTATAAGCAGTGCTTGAAATGGGATGGGATGCCATCTCATTTCTTCTTAGGAGGGCCCAAAACTGCCTGCTTCCTTCTACTACGGGGGTTTCCAAACTTTGCCAACTGGCGGATCCCCTTCAACTTCTTTACTGTATTGGCGGATCACCTCCTGTTAAAAATAGTTTTTATCCTGTGTAACTGTATTTTACTACCTTTGCAGATTGATTCTAGTTTTAAGAAAAGAACAACGAAAAGAGATTTAAATATGGAGAATTAAAAAATAATAATCTTACGACTTACTTTAACGTGAAGGATGATACCGCTTTGCTGAAACAATCTTACAAATTTCCGAGTCAGTGTCTGACTGTTTCAAACAAAATCCAGCTCCACATTTATCTTATTTCTATACTTTGATTTTATATAAGCAAGTTGAGAGAAACCTAGCATTTTTTTTTATTTGTTACTCTTTCATTAAATGGTAATTTCATAAATTAGATGTATTATTGCAGACCCCCTTAAGTACTATCGTGGACTACAGTTTGGGAACCTCTGTTCTACTAGACTGTAAGCTTCTCAGAAGGGCAAGGCTCAATAGTTTAGAAGATAAATATTTATGGCAGCAAGGGACTGGGGAGAGAAACTTTTTTATTCAAATATTGTGTCAGAGCAAGGCAGGAATGAAACAAAGTAGTACACGATGGAGGGAAGGATCCCTCTCGCTGTGGGCTTGGTCGGTATCACAGAGTTCATAACCACCGGAGTTTTCATACTATAACCCATAACTGAATACATCTGTTTATACTTAATATTATTGTTTTATTGCCTTTTGAACCATGTCTCTAACTAATAATCCCACCACACCAGTTGTAAATCACTTGACGAACATGCAGCTCATGTTACTGTATCGAATTATGTAATGCTCGTTAGTATACTTTGTGAAGAATTTTTATTATTATTATTATCATTCATTATCTTTCTTTATCTAACCTAATAAGTTTCTAATTTTTATATTCTAATTACTTTTATATTAACAAACAAAGAATACACATGAAAAACAATAAATATAATACTTGGCTTCAAAAATTTCACAAACCCTCCTACTTTTTCTCCTCACCCACTGACTAGAAGATTTCATAATTTTTGGACATGAAGCTGTAGCAAAACATTTGGAAAAAAAATCCCCCCAAAACTGTGCTACTAATGGACATTTAAAAAGACATAATTATTTTTAGATTTGAGTCTGTCAAAAGTTTTAAAGCTAAAAATCTTCCAATGATGCTAAGTTTAATCTGCAGTTTTCAGTGTGTCTTTGTAAAAAAATATGTAGTTGTTTAGCCTCAAGTTTTTTGTTGAAAAATTTAATTAAAACATTTTTGGATTACTTATATTTGTATCAAGTAACAAAGGTAAAAAATCTTCATAATATATCAGTGTTTGCACTAGCATTTAAAGAATTGTGTTTTTAAACACATGCTTTTTAAAAATATTCATTTTTCGACCGTAATGCCTACTTTTTTGCATACTGTATCAAACTAGTTAATTTCCTGTTAATGTTATTTCAGAGTAACTTAGTAATGCATAACCTACAGTATTTAATGTTGAATACCTGAACCTCTTGCACATACATAGTATTTATTCCTCTGTCAGTCACATGTTCCAACAATATTGTCTGTAATTTTCCAGTTGGTTTATTCCAGACAAGTCATCATTGCTTTACATGTTCATAAGCACGTTTATGACAAGGTCGGGACCTTGAATTTTAAACCTAAAATTACTCAAATGCTTTGTAACCAACCTAGGGAAACAAATACTCGGAACTCATTTCACTTATGAGGAAAATGCATATTTAGCCAAAGTGAAAACCTAGTATTTTTAGATATTCTTCAATTAGCCTAAATTTAACACCATAACATCAATTAATTATGTCAACTAAAATGTTTGATAATTATAACTTTATCTCACAAACTTTGAAAGTTGTTAGGGAATGAATAAGATGAAAAACTAAAACGCTTTTTTCGTATGTGTATGGTAAAGCTAATAAGACTATCAGACACTGTCCCTAATTTTGAACTACTTACCACAGGGAGGGCATCTATTTCCAACTCTTCGGTTACTATTTATCAACAAAGAGGGGTATTGACCATCACATTATAATGCTTCCATGGCTGAAAGGGTGAGCATGTTCTGTGATGGATTTCAATCCCATGACCCACAGATTATGAGTCAAGCACCCTAATAACTAGTTTTTTTTACATTAAACAGACACTTGTACTATAATAATACAGTATTTTGGATTAATCACTGTCAATCAAATAGTCACAAAATAACTTATATAAGGTAAATATTAATGTATTCTGTAATGTAAAGGTTTTAATTATTATAACTTTACCTTATAAAGTTTGAAACCCGATAGGGAATAAGTAATACTAATATACTCAGATAATATTTGTTTACTGTGGTGGCACCACTGTTTAAATGTTCAACTAGGAGGTGTGGCCTAACAAAAGGCTCTAATAATCTACATTGGCCAATTTGTTCGTTGTCACAAAACACCTATGTCTTTAGGAAATATACATCCAGGGCTCTTTAAGAGAAAGTTCAAAGCAGTGGAATGTTTTCCAAATTTTATTACATAAAAAAAAAATGTAATTTGAAACAGTAATTCTTGTTACATCTGCTTTGAAGAAAGTTAATGCCATGATTTTTTTTTACTAGAATATCTTGTATTTGTATAAGGCAGAGTTCTCCATAAACACGACATCTGTATGTATTTAACATCTACATTTTGGAAGTGTGATAATTACGATTTCTATAATCTCTCGTGCTTGCTCCAGTTATTTTTAAGTATATTTATTTTTGAAGGACTGATGAAACAACAATTCTATCAAAAGCTATTCAAAATATATATATATATATGTAGGTTGATCATTATTTCAGGTGTTCTTAGATACTCCTGGACTGGTAACACCTGATCATGGTAAAAAGTAAGTAACCATTTATATCTACATACTAGGAAACAGATAATAATAAATATTAACTTTGAACGTACAAAAATCAATAGTATATTTAATATTTAAGGTATTTACCATGACCACATTATTGTATAATTAATACCAGAGGTGTTTTGTGGACTTTACTCTGACTAATCAATAGTATATTTAATATTTAAGGTATTTACCGTGACCACATTATTGTATAATTAATACCAGAGGTGTTTTGTGGACTTTACTCTGACTACTCAATAGTATATTTAATATTTAAGGTATTTACCGTGACCACATTATTGTATAATTAATACCAAAGGTGTTTTGTGGACTTTACTCTGACTACTCAATAGTATATTTAATATTTAAGGTATTTACCGTGACCACATTATTGTATAATTAATACCAGAGGTGTTTTGTGGACTTTACTCTGACTACTCAATAGTATATTTAATATTTAAGGTATTTACCGTGACCACATTATTGTATAATTAATACAAAAGGTATTTTGTAGACTTCACAATAGTATATTAAAGATATTGAAATTATTTTGTAGACATCACAGACTACTGTGACTACATTATTGTATAATTAAACTACAGGTATTTTGTAGACTTCACTCTGACTACACAATAGTATATTAAAGATATTGAAATTATTTTGTAGACTTTACTCTGACTACTCAATAGTATATTAAAGATATTGAAATTATTTTGTAGACATCACAGACTACTGTGACTACATTATTGTATAATTAAACTACAGGTATTTTGTAGACTTTACTCTGACTACTCAATAGTATATTAAAGATATTGAAATTATTTTGTAGACATCACAGACTACTGTGACTACATTATTGTATAATTAAACTACAGGTATTTTGTAGACTTCACAATAGTATATTAAAGATATTGAAATTATTTTGTAGACATCACCTAGATTCTACTCTGACTACAGGCCCCAGTAAATCTGTTCAACATGCTGACACAAGTAAGTATCTTAACGGGTGCTATCGCTGTTTGAAGTTAAAATTGATCTGTTAGATAAAATAACTATTATAGGTGTTGTCCATTCTAAGTCTAGAATGCGTGATGTGAAATGTATACACAGTTAATGTGGTATCCAGTTTGTACTGGTCTTAAACTTAAAAAAATAGTTTAGAAATGTTGAGCTCAGCAGTTACTGTGTAATAGTCCAAGTTCTCACACAGATAATTCATTGCGTTTCAGTTTTGGTCGTGGTTGATGTATCAAACAAATGGACGAGGAATCATCTTGACCCCGGTATATTAAAGCTGCTTCATCGGTATCCGAACAAAGACTGTGTGTTAGTGCTAAACAAGGTAGTTTTTTACCACAACAACTCAGGTTATTTAGAGTTAAACTTAGTAAATATGGATAAGGAAGCTAAGATATAAAAACAGTAAGATAATAAAACATGCAGTACAGTAGTCTGTCTGGGAATATTTTGGTAAGCTTGTGTTTAAAGTTTTTTTGGTACATCCACTGAAACTGGGTCAGAGATGATTGAACACCAGCATGGAAAGAAACTAATATATCCTTGCTTTTAATCATTCTCTCAAATCTGTGTTTTGTTTCTTGAGCAATTATTTAACTTCTTTTAGTATTTTCATGAAAGAAATAATATATGTGTCTGATATTTAAGATTTGTTTTCAGTTATTCAAATTACGAGTGAATTTAAAGTAGTATTCCAAAGAAATAATTGGAAGTTTTGTTTAGGAAGTGACAGATTTATTTTTTGGGATGACGTTACTGGGTTTTACAGGTTGGTATATTAAACCGTAAACAGAGACTGATATCCTCTTTAGGCATTAATGATCTCGCATCTCATTTTTACAGATAGATTTATTACAATCTAAACAGAAACTGTTGGAATGACGTTACTGGGGTTTTACAGGTTGGTATATTAAACCGTAAACAGAGACTGATATCCTCTTTAGGCATTAATGATCTCGCATCTCATTTTTACAGATAGATTTATTACAATCTAAACAGAAACTGTTGGAAGTTTCTCGGTCGTTGACTATGGGAAAAGTTGGTGGAAAAGACATGCCTGCATTTCCATCAAGGAGGAAAAACCAGAAAATATCCCTCAATTCATTGTTCAAAGTTACAGAAGATAAACTAGAAGAAAACAATAAGGTTGACACCGAAACAGGTTGGCCTAATTTCTCCAGAGTTTTTATGATATCAGCTTTGGACGGTAATGGTGTTGCTGACCTGAAAGTAAGAGATTTCTAACAACTTTGGGAGGTTTCAGTTGATATTTATTTTTGGGATATAATTTACTGATAACATAAATATTAGGTACCTGTACATGGGCAATGTTATAATTTTTCATTTGTGGAATATATTTTGCTTATTGTTAACACGTGATCTATAAGTATTGATGATAATTGTAGTTTACTTCTGGCAATAATTAGTTTCCAACAGTTACATCCAGAGAACAATAATCCATTCCTCGTTATTTAATTTCCGTAGCGCGTGTTGATAATTATTTCAACAGTACACTTCACTGTTTAATATGTCAGATGCTGTAGATTTGATTATAATTTATTATTTAAACAATTTGAAGCTTTGTGCTGTCAGTTACGGTTTGTGTTTCAATGGAACACTTCTGAAAAAGCTGTATAAAGTGAAACATTGAGTGTCCAATTAAAGAAAAATAACAAATTTGGTGTTATAAGGTCATTTATTTATAAAATTAAGATAAACCATTGATGTCAAAAACAACTTATATTGGGATTTCCTGACAGAAACCAATGTTTTATGGCATGGTATTTCTCCGTACACTTTTGTTAATAACTTAATAAACACAAACAAAAGTATTTCTAAGTATCTTGATAATTAAATTAGTAAAGGCCTTAGTAATTTTAACTGGCTTACATAACATTTCCTAAATGTATCTCAAACTAATTAGTTTTGTGGATTTTCTATTCTTGCAATTTTTTTTTGTACTTTCCTCAGACATATTTTTTGGAGACTGCCCATCCTTCATCATGGCTGTACCATTGCAGTATGGTGACGGATCAAAGTCCATTGGAGGTTGTACAAATGGCCGTCCGAGAAAAAATACTAGAATATCTACCCAAGGAAATCCCTTATAATCTGAACTTGGTAATATTTTGTGCTTCCTGCTCCCGTGAAGGTTTTTTGTTTTTTTAGATTGGTCAATAAATAGTTATCCTGGGTCATGGCTCTATCACAGTAGTAAAGTAACTGACCAGAGTATGCTAGAGATTTCTCTAATCGTTATTTACAAGTAATGTAAAATAAAAACCTTATCCACAAAATAATTTGTGGTTATTTTGAAGACGTTTAAAATGTCATAGTTTGTACATTAGTTTTTGCCAGAAAGTTAAGGACAGTAAATTTAAAATTTGTAATAACAATTATTTATTACTTGAAGGTAAATACCTTCACACAAAAAAAACAGGTGTATTAACATTAAAGGCTTTCCTAGAATACTAAAACAATGGTAGAACAGCTCGACTCACAGTTTTAGTTACATTGTAGTGTGATGTATCTCTACAAAACTGGAATTTCAGCTGTTGTTTGGGTGTACACTGCTTTAAGTTTCCTTCTTATTCACTTAACCTTTTCACAGTCGACAGAAGATTAACTGTCATTGACAGTGGAGATAGACACTTTTCTGTGGTTGCCAAAAAATATTTCCCTCTAGAGCAGAAAGTGACAACCCTACACAAGCTTGAATACACTGCCAGGCACCGGGTGTGACGACATCTAGGAGCATGAGTGGGAAACACAATTATAAACAACCCCTTAGTTGGGACCCCAGCCGGCACCCCCACACACATATCTTATATATGATAATACAGTAAAATATACTGTTAATTTACGATATTTCTTGAGGGATAAATTACATTTATTGGGGACTGACCGTGAAATCTAATTATGAGGTGAAAGGGTTAAGTGATGCTGTACATTACATTTCAATCCCTAAAGTAATAATATAAGGATAGATGTTTAAACTAAAATTCCCGAAATATGTTAATAATTTAAATCCATTCCAGGACATAGAAATGTGGGAAGTCGATGATGCTGGTGTCTTGAAGGTTGCAATGTCGGTAATCTGTCCACGACGTGGATTAGTTGTAAGTACTTTAGTATATTAAATTATATACTTCTATAAAGGTTTTAGTTGAACATTTTCTACAGAATATAAAATGTGTGTAATCAAGTTGTACCTTTAAAGTACAGTAAAATCTTGTTAAAATGAATGAATTTCTTCCGTATAGTTGAATCAGTCACTTTGAAAAGCATCAATTTGTAAGGATGCAAGTTAGTAATGGTGGGCATTAAACTGGTAAACAAAAAACAACTGTATTTAGATTAAACTTATCAGTTTATTATTGTCGTCATTTTGTTCAATGATATATAGAATACGAAATACATAGTAGATGCATTACTTGTATAAACAAACACATCATGATTTAATGATGCTGATATTTCTAAGCATCTTCGTTTTGTAGCACCACGACTGTAGATACCTGTTATAGTTGATACATATATCTATACTGTGAAGGTTGTTGTCATAAAAGTTGTCCTAAACTGGTACCCACTGTGAGTGCTGACGTTTATCACCTTGTTTCTTGTTCTGATCAACTCCTACTTGATTCTTGTACAATTATATACGGTTGATTACGTTTCCCTTTGTAAAGATTTGTCTATGTAAAAAATTTGTATTCGAGGTATAGGAAAGGACCTGGAATTCTTTTTGGCATTAGCAGTATGAATCCTGAAGAAACTCAATCAAAATTGGAGATGTTATATCTCAGGTATTTCTTAATGAATTACCTTGAAATTTGGTATGTGAAGTAAAAGTCCTGTAGAGCACATCCACCGCAAATATGCGATAGTTTGGATTACCACAGTCCGAGTTACAGAAAGTGGAAGATCGCTAAACTATTGCACAGTCTGTCCTGTAGGTTGTTTTTATGGCCACAAGACACACTACCATGAGTCTTGATCCATCAATGCATGTCATAATGAATTTTCTTTAATATTAGGAACAGTTTGTGTCTTGGAAAGATGCGTATATATTTATGCGACACATCCTTAGTTTCGGTTAGTGTGAAAGAGTATTGCACATTAATATTATGTGAAGTATTTGTTATAACAACTTGAATCGTATATATTCATGCGACACATCCTTAGTTTCGGTTAGTGTGAAAGAGTATTGCACATTAATATTATGTGAAGTATTTGTTATAACAACTTGAATCATATATATTTATGCGACACATCCTTAGTTTCGGTTAGTGTGAAAGAGTATTGCATATTAATATTATGTGAAGTATTTGTTATAACAACTTGAATTTTGAACTTATGGTCTGTTGAGAAACTCAACTTGATAACAACAATGTGAACATAATATGCAACGTAGTGTTTATGTTTGTAATGAGAAAGTAACTGAATCTAGCATTCTTTATCTATTTAACCAACCAGAACTACATTATTACAATGTCAATGTTAAAAGACCATTTAAGAAGCTCTGCTTCAGAGGTAAAACAACATCAGTTTTTAAATTAAGTCACTGATAAAGATTTGTTTGGATTCCTTTTACTTTTCTTGTTATAATGACCGAAGAAGTTTGATGAAAATAGTCATGTGTTCAATGAAAACATCTTCACGATTTGTTTTTGTCAGTATCCAGAATTATTAACCAATAACAAACATTGTATTTTTAGAAAATCCTGATTGGTCACCGGGGAAGGATGATTTCCAGGATTGCTGAAGAAGCAAAACAAGCTGTTGCCAACACCTTTCATTGTGATGTTAGTTTGAAGCTTATTGTTAAATATAAGGAAGACCAATGATTATCATACACTAGGTTCTTGTATTTTGAAAGTGTTAAAAGTATTGATGATGGTTTTTTTTGTCACGAGTCCAACTACTGATGCTTTTAAAGTTTTTATTTTTAACAAACTCTTTACAACTATAAATCAAGAAGACGTTACTTTAGTTTAACAGGAACTATTTTTTTCATTACACGTGGTTCATGACTTCATCTTAATTCTTTGTTACTTTTGAAAACAACTTTAATAAATTGTGTAAATAGTGACTGAAAATAACTTTACTTGAACACCGAAACATCTTGAAGTATTCCAGTAATATCAAACATTTGTTATCTATATACAAGCAGAACAAAACATCAGGTTTAGTTTTGTTTATTCACAGTTCTTCTATTCTGTACATACACACACAGACTACAATCCAGCTATGCTTAAAAAACAATTAGTGTTGTGGGAAACTTCTGATAACCCCAGAACAGTAACTTTAGTGAACATTCCTTTCAATACTATTTGTTTTTAAAGTCATCTCTGGTCCAGTGAATGACAAGTCTGGACATATCTCTTGGGTGTGAATAGGTAAATACATAGATCATTACTCTCGGTCTGTATTCATCCTCGTACTAAACTAATTCCAGTAAAGATACCTTTTTATAGGTCATTGTTTTTAAGATTTCACATAACTACACTGTCAAAACTTTACAACAGAAAATTAATATATATATATATATATAAATTAAGGATTAGGGATTCCTCAATTACATGAGCAATTTAAACAACTTGCATGGAAAGAAGAAAAAAATGGACACTTCGTGTTGTACTACAAATATTTAATGCAACACTGAAAATTTCTCATTTTTAAGTTAGTTTTTCAACATTTGAATTTTTTGAAAGGTGTAAATGAAGACAAATTATATATATAGCATTAATAAAAACCTCAAGGAAAAGTCAAGATTGGGTTAATAAAATTAAAACTTGTCATAACTGGCTTGTATGATAAAGTTAGTGCCCAGAATTGCTGCAAATCATAAGACTTTTTTACCAGTAATGACACATTACAGATGGAGCCACTTTACAATTCCAGGACTTCTTTCAATGGTGATCTAGATGCTACTTTCTTGTGATTATCATCAATTTTATTTGTGTCATTTGAAAATCACTAAGGATTAATCAGTTGTTGGGTATCTTATAAATGGTGATAAACCATTTAGTGTCTCTTATTTCTAAAGTTTCAATTCAAAGATCATGTTACAACCAGTGTGAAGATATTAGCATTACAAGCTACTGAACAACAACGTTCATCACCTGCACGTTGTGGAAATGGATGTAAATGTAATCTTATAATCCTACAAAGTAAAACAGTGACTTACAGCTTGGTTATTGTATGAAAACTTACTTAACACGATAAGGGAACATGTCTTGATGTAGTTCCATATTGGAACTAGGTGAGTTTGGAAATCAAATACAAAATTTCTGTCTTCAGTTTAAGGAAAAAAAACATAGTTGCAAACAGTACCACGGACCTACAATTTTTTCTCTGCGTTGAACAGTGTGCACGTGTACTTACTGAATTGTTGAACATGACACTATACTGTACGAACAACGTGAGGGGACAAAACGGCTAGTGGTTTTTGCATATATCGTGTTTTCAAAAGGCAGGATAAAGTACCTGTAACAAGGTACTTTTTTAAAAGTTTTGGTTACAGTCACTAGTCACACTAGAGAAATTGAGAAAATTATATAATGAAGAAAAATGAAATCGCAAGCAAACACTTAGCTAAAGATATCTATTCTCTTGTCCATATAACAAAACTTTTAGAATGTTTTTAGGATTGGGAAACTTCCCATTCTAGATCAGGATAACTGATTTATTTCACTTTGTTAATTTTGTAAACAACAGTGAAGTCCCTTTCAACAGGATGTAACTGTGATCAACAATCGTTGAGAGAGACCCATTGTAATTAAAGGTGCTACTGATTCAGAGAAGTGTATAAATCCTGTACATCTTCGTTTATAGATTAATATTAGACAAAATGAAATTCTTGGATAATCCTGCCAATACTTAAACCTAAGTAATTTCACAATGTTTACAAATTTTGTATTCATGCAAAACAACAAAAATAACTCGTATTCTAGTAACAGAACATTTAAACAAGCTAGTCTAACAAGAAATTGGATTAACTTGAATAAATATTTTATGTGATTAGGCCTAAAACTGTCAAGAAGACAAGTATAACAACAGAGTTGGCTCCTGACGACTAAAAGTTAGGCTTGATAAGTCTTTTTTTCTTCCACTTTTAGAATAAATAAATATACGTAATCATTGTCTCAAATTGAATTTTTTAACACATTTCTATTGTATAATGATTATTTCACTTTTAATGCTAAAACTTTCTACAACTTAAAAGAGAAAATCACACTTTCGGAACTAATTATATTCTACCAAAAGAGTTGTACAGGGATAGTAGTTTCAAAACACGTCATCATCAGTCGAACGTTGTTGTTTGTTATTAAGCACAAAGGACTATCTGTGCTGTACCCACCACAGGTATTGAAACCTGGTTTCTAGAGGTACAAGTCCACAGACATGTCACTGGGGGCTCAGTCAAATAAACTGTGTCATCATCGGTCGAACGTTGTTGTTTGTTATTAAGCACAAAGGGCTATCTGTGCTGTACCCACCACAGGTATTGAAACCTGGTTTCTAGAGGTACAAGTCCACAAACATGTCACTGGGGGCTCAGTCAAATAAACTGTCATCATCATCGGTCGAACGTTGTTGTTTGTTATTAAGCACAAAGGGCTATCTGTGCTGTGCCCACCACAGGTATTGAAACATGGTTTCTAGAGGTACAAGTCCACAGACATGTCACTGGGGGCTCAGTCAAATAAACTGTGTCATCATCGGTTGAACGTTGTTGTTTGTTATTAAGCACAAAGGGATATCTGTGCTGTGCCCACCACAGGTATTGAAACCTGGTTTCTAGACGTACAATTCCACAGACATGTCACTGGGGGCTCAGTCAAATAAACTGTTAACCATGTTAACAGAGTTACTTCTCGGAAAGTGTAGGTTTTTTTGTTTTAGTTGTTAAATACACAACTAAAATGTTTATTTTTACCTGCTTGTTTGAAGTTAAGCACAAAGCTACACAATGGGCTATCTGTGCTCTGCCCACCACGGGTATCAAAACCCAGTTTCTAGCATTATAAGCTTGCAAACATACTGCCGTGCCACTAGGGGATATTTTTACCTGCTTATTTGAAGTTAAGCACAAAGCTACACAATGGGCTATCTGTGCTCTGCCCACCACGGGTATCAAAACCCAGTTTCTAGCACTGTAAGCTTGCGAACATACTGCTGTGCCACTAGGGGATATTTTTACCTACTTTCTCTAGTTTGCTGTAGAGTAACTAATGCAGCTCTTATAAGAAAATAATTTGACAAAACATGCCAAAATTATCGCACACAAATCTATTTTCTTTTTACTAGAGTAAAGAAATCCTAAAGGGTTAGGGCTAACTGAAACCAAAGTAAATCAAATTGATGTACTAGACTAACAATCAACTTCTGTTTATTTTACAAAAGTAGCAAACATTAAAACAGTTGTATGAATGAAATAAAAACTAATTAATTTAACTATACTACTCCAGAGTTGTTGTAATGATTCTACAAATAGCTGAATAACTTGGTTTTGAATGTCACTAGCATATTTGAACCAGAATGAAAATCAAACAGTTTTAGATATAGTAGGGAACTTTGGAAGAGAAAAACAACAAAAGGAAAACAGTTACTGACGAGTAAATTGAGTTTTTATAAATTACTACAAGACACATACCGAGCTGGACTTGTTATATTTTTTAATTTTCTTTCGGTATTATTTACAGAAGGCTACCTAGTTTTTCTTACGGATAAGTAAAACAGAGTTCCTACTATTGATTCATTTCAGCTTTGCTTACATGACCAACCTGGTGAAGACTGTTAGCATTTTGAAAACTTGTTGCCAAATAAAAAAATTTTCAACCGTTTCATTGCAGCTTAAAATTAAATATGAATTAGCTTCTTTCTTGCAAAACTCTCTGTAAATTCAGTAAAAAACTTTCAAACTTATTACTGCAATATTGACGAGGTCTACTACTGTTATTCTTACATTTATGTCTAAAACTAATTTCTTTTTAAGTAAATATTTAAAATAAAACAGTGCTACTATAGGATGTGAACATAAGGGTAACTTAAGAGATTTTATGGAAACAACTTTTTTTGTAGGTCGTTTCTAAAAATTATGATTCCATATCTTTCATACAATGTGTATCGGAACGCTTTATAAAATAAACTGGTAACACAAAGCTGATAGACAAAAAATTACAGCTGAAAAAGTCTGATCAGCAAGCAGCTTGGTTTACTGTATTTATTTCTACAAAAAAAGTAAACTTTGGTAGGAATATCACACATGGGTTTATATAATTATATATATATATATTCAAACAATATACACTGGCACATATATCTTTACAGTTAACAGAAGACCTTTAAAATTCAGTTAGTTACAATATTAATTCTTAAAAAATTATTTTCTCTGAAATACACAAATAATTACACCAAACTCAAGGAAGTGCCATCATGTCTTAATAACACAAAGGTTAGAAATTGTAGGTGGTAAACATATTCACTGACTGAAAACATTTAGAAATCAAGCAGAGAGAGAGTCTCCAAAACTAAGTGATTTCCCCAAATGTGGAACTCCAGCAATGTGTTCCACAAAAATAGATGTTGCATTGTAATTATTATTACTGAAGATGTTTGAGTAGCATGTGTGATTGAATTTTATCGTAAATTAATCAAGGATTTTGAGGTTTCAGTGGTTAAAGTTCTCAGCCCACGATGGAGAATTTCGTGTCTTTTTCTCTTGATGCTGTATCTATGCAAATTTGGATCTAAATCAAGAAATTACAGTAAGTAAAATTTTTTAAGTTCTTAATGAATATCAGTATATACTAAACATGGGTTGGTTGCGTTTTGATAATGACTATAATTGTTCTTTGTATGTCAAAGTTCAAGTTTTTATAAAGCCCTCCAGAATAACTGACAACACTGTACATAGAATATGAGCACTCAATGAAACAAATGTTCAAGTGGATGCTGCTGTCACTACATGTTTTGGAAGTTTTTCACAGCTCATCAGCTGCTGTCTGCAGCGAGACCTTAAGCCTTCGAAGCACTGCTGGCAGACTCGAACAGGTGAATACAGCTGTTCACTAGGCACTGGCAACACCTGGCTACAGCACTGGTAACAGAACACTTTTCCACAACTTCTAGAAATAAATTCAACAAAAACTAGTACACACCAGCTTATGTTGCTACAAAAACGAGTTCGTACCAACTTATGTTGCTACGAAAACTAGTTCGTACCAACTTATGTTGCTACGAAAAGTAGTTCACGCCAACTTATGTTGCTACGAAAACTAGTTCACGCCAACTTATGTTGCTACGAAAAACCTAGTT